CGCATACTGCGGTACGCGCACACACACTGAAAACCTGCATCCACTACGTAACACTACTTTAGGGTATTTGATCACAGGGAGGTAAAACCCATTTTCCTGCCGGTCAGAACCATCCGTAGCTCACCCCAACCCCCATGAGGCTTTATCTGCTGACAGCAGTGTGTTTTGTCCTGTAGGTAAATGGTTCGTGAGCACGGGGAAAGATAACCTCCTGAACGCGTGGCGGACGCCCTACGGATCCAGCATATTCCAGGTAGAATTTGCTCACGGGACACAATAAATTTGACTTGGCAAACCTGAGAGCTTCAGTTCCTCTTTGTAAAGCTTCCTTCCTGTTTGTCTCTACACACAGTCAAAGGAGTCTTCGTCAGTTCTCAGCTGTGACATCTCACCTGATGACCAGTTCATTGTCACCGGCTCTGGGGACAAGAAGGCCACAGTCTATGAAGTCATTTACTGATCTCTGATTGTCTCCTCACTGAAAGCTAACAATCCCCGGGGGCCAAGCCGAGGGCCCCCCTTCCTGCACCAGTGACTGTACAGGGTGTCGGCCGTGTGTGAAGAGCAAGAGACACTCAACTCGTACTTCGTCGTTTTGTTCGCATTTGTGAGAAATGAGCGAGAGAGAAGCAAGGAGAAAATAAACATTTTCTGGAAAATAAACATTGGTGTTTAATGCTCTGAGAAAGGTGATTAGTCTATAGCTACGCTAATGTGGGATTCCTCCAAAGAACTTTTTTTTTTTTTAAACAAAATAAAACCTCTGTAGTGCAAAAGAAATTAGAAGAAAACATTTCTTTTTTTTTAACCTTTGGATTAATTGCAAACAGTTGAACTGATTTGAATGGAGGAGGTTCAATTAGAGCTGTCCTGACGGGGGTCCAAGCCGGAGTCATCCCGGCTCCGTGTGGGTTGCTCTTCTGACGTTCCAGACACTTTTTGCTTTTCCATTTTCTTTTTTTTTTTATTTCAGCATCATGATTGTAACATTTTTTTCATGTGTACGTGACAGAACAGGGCTCGGTTGGCTTCCTCTGAAATATCCAGAGAATCAAACTACACTGCTCAAAAAAAATATAGGGAACACTCAAATAACACATCCTAGATCTGAATGAATGAAATAAATATAAAAATAATTTCCACCTGTTGTCTATTCCATTTGCACAACAGCAGGTGATATTGATTGTCAATCAGTGTTGCTTCCTAAATGGACAGTTTGATTTCACAGAAGTTTGATTCACTTGGAGTTATATTGTGTTGTTTGAGTGTTGTCTTTATTTTTTGGAGCAGTATATTTTTCATTCATTTAAAATTGGGGAAAACGATCTCAAATCCAAGACTTGGAAGTCGGTTCAAACAACAAGACCTCTTGTGTTTCAGGGTAAGCGCATCTGTCATTCAGTATTTCATGTTCTTTCGTTGTATTTGTTAGGGCACATTCAGACGGACTGGCCTGTGTTTTCATAGCTACCATTCTGATCCATGAACCTTGAACATGAACATGTAAATAAAGGTCTCTAAAGGCAAAGGAGATTGTCCTCAGTGTTGCTTTTAGAACATCGATTTGAACATATGTTTTTGAAAATCCAACAGTGTCCTGCTTTTTTTTTTTTTTTTGTCTTCTTGACCCTTTGCCTGTGTGTGTGTGTGTGTGTGTGTGTGTGTGTGTGTGTGCGCTTGTCTGTGTGATGGAAGAAATTTAAATAATCGTGCGAGTTTTCCAAGTCAGGCTTTTGGCAGATTTAATCTGGATGTTTCAAACTGTGTAGAGAAGGGGGGAGAAATGGAAGCATTTGTTGCCTATTTGTTCAAACCCTACCAGCCAGAACAGCGTGTTCTCACAGCATGGCGTCAGAAAAGCATCTTAGAAATATTTAGATGAGAAACGAAGGCTGCTGAAGGTGAACGCGCGCTGCCTCCTCTCTCCTGTGATGACTGCGTTTCGCTCATTCAGAGGGATCTCCAAGTTCCTTCGACTGTCTGGGGGATCAGAGGTGAAGCAGGGGGGGAGGAATTGTCTTGGGATTTGAACGCGCAGCATGAACCGTCGTCCGTAGCGCTGCTGCTGTAAGATCTCAGACTTTCACGGCGGGGCTTGTGTTTAGAGTGTGTGTTGTTGAGGCAGAGGGGATCTGAACTCATTACGATGATGCTCCAGAGGATGCTTTTCAGTGATCGTGGAGAACGTTCCACTGAGATGCTTTAGAGGGTCTCGACATCAGGACCTGAAGCAATCGGATTGATTGTGATGAATCGATTATTGTAATAACGGTCAACCAATTTAGGAATTGATTAATCATTAGCTGGAGCATGTAGACCGTAAACATTGCCATTTGCTGCAGGAACGCTGCCACGCTCAGCAGTATCATGGCACAGAGAATATGTACATTTGTATATAAGATGAAAAGCCTTTGCAAATATTTTCCACCCTGAACTATGTAGGTTTAGCTCAACCTGGTTCACATTCCACACTAAATGGAAAAATAACCCAAATCTCAGCAGTGAGGCTGGATGTACAAAGCAAATACTTGCCTCCTTTTGTCAGCAGTAATTACATATTTATAAGAATTGCTAAAAAGGAAACTATTCACTAACATGTTGACCTGCTAATGTTACAACACAAAGATTTCAGCATGGCACAAACTATGAACGTTCTGTTTGTTATTGAATGAAAATGAAAGAGTTTGACACCTGAAATGATGAGCACAAGTTTGGTTTATTCTTCACAGATAGCATTTGTTGTACAGCACAAGGAAGAAGAAAAAAACGCATCAGGAGGGGAAGACGCAGTGCATTAAAAAAAAAAAAAGAAAAGAAAAAAAAAGTTCCTTGGCTTTCAAAAACAGAAGAGTTAATATAAGCCGTAAAAGAAAAGCAAAGGGTTTTTTTTTGTTTTGTTTTTACACTGTTGAAACAGAAGCACAGGTTGGGCAGGGAAACGTTGATTAATTCAAACAAAGTATCAAATACAATGTCCCAAATACTGACGCTAGACCACCATATGCATAGCCATTATACAGCATCGTTTTGAGTAGCATACAAGCTTGTGTACGTGAGAATCATTTATGGCTACCTAGGGCTTTTGGACAGAGGGGGAAAAAAAGAAAAAAGAGAGGCAGGAAGCTGTACAGAACGTCTCTGACTGCAGAAGGCCCTCATGATTCTTATGTTCGGCTTCAGCGCTGCAGCTAAAAAAAAAAACAGGTAAACTTTTCTAACATTGGATACAAGTAAACAAAATTGCATACCGCCTATATTATTTTTCTGAGAAGAGGATCGTCACTGTATAAAATATGAGTTTTTTTTTCCCTTCTTCTTCCTTTGAGCAGCTCAGCTTTAGTGCAACAAGCATGCAGTGAAAGTGGAGCCTTCTTCATAGCAAATCTTTAGTTCCCGCTCAATGCAGGCAGGAATCAACAAACGCAGGAGCTGAAAACATAATAAGGGCTAGGAAACAGACTCAAGTACACTTACTACCACTTTTGAAAAGGAGGGGGATAAAGAATAAACAACAAACAGTGGAGCTCTTGGTGGGTTTTCAATACATCCCACCTGTGTTCCCTTTATCTATCTCCATATATACGTATCCCCCTCTGAGCCCAAAACGAGCCACAGGCAGCCCGAGAACATAAACATATTATACAGGACAAGCAATCACTAGTCATTAAAAAAAAAAAAATGAAATGATGCAGTGAATTAATAGAAGAAATTGAAATGTCTTTTATTTCTAAACACAGGCTCTACAGAAACGGAAAGCCCCGACAGTTTTCTTCTCATTTTGGAATATGTGAAGTGATGTGGAAAGTAGGCAAGTCCAAATAAACATATTTATTAATGCTCACTGCCACGTATGTCTGTAAGATAACTATGGTTAGCGTTTAGCACGTACTGAAAACAGATCAAACTCGTCCACATTCAAAGGTTTTAGTTGCAGCTTCATGAAATCAAAAGGAAAAACTCCAGTTGTTCAGAATTTGCTGAAGTCACTAAAGGGGTGTAACTTCACGGCTGTATTTACCGCTCAGTTCTGTTCATTTATTCTCCCATTGTGGTGGTGCAGTGAAAGTAACGCACAGCTGAGGCCTTTGCTACAAAATGGACTGTGATGGACTGAGCTGGTGAAGCATGCTGATGCTAGCATGCTGATGCTAGCATGCTTCATCAGCTCAGGCTGCTGACTATTGGGAAGCGATTAAGAGTCCAACACAGTAAAACCTCCAAACGGTTAACTTGTAAAGTGGCGCGTCTCCCTCTCAGTCCAACCCAAAGGATTTTAGAGATTATGCAGAAGGCATGGCGTATTTAAAACCAAAGTTGTCGAGTCTAAACAGTGCAACAAATTAAACTTATCTTTTGAAACGCAGCGTGCAAACTGGCACGGATCAGTAGATCTTGAGAAATGTTTGCAGATGTGTAGTAGCCCCTAAAACGGTTGATAGGTATTTTTTTTATATATATAAATTACCTGGATAATTATACCAACATCACCCTCCATAATTATTGACACTCATTGAAATGAGTAAAAAAAAAAATATGAGTAAATAAATGTTTTACTGCAGTGGCATCAGTTTGCATGAACTATTTTCAGCATCTTTCTAGCAGTGACTGATTTACCCCTCAGCATTTCCCACGCTGTCTCTGGGCAAAATAATCACGTCTTTTGTCCCAGTTCCAGTTGTTTTAAGCTTTTTAAGTATTACGCTGACTGTAAATATTGACAAGTTGAGATTAACAGCAATTTTTTGAAGCTATTTTATTTTATGACTTAATCAGCTTCAAATGATCAAAGATGGGAACATTAAAGTGAGATGTGTGCTAAATCTCAAGAGAACAGGACGTTTGTGCCCCATCATATCAATAACCCAAGAAAATATCATTTGCATTAGTTAAAATTTTTAAAAAAATAATTAAAAAGCATACAATGGTACGAAATATATTGTATTTAACGGATACAGTAAGGGTTGGCGAGAACATTTTGATATTTTCCTGAATTTAAAAAAACTTTTTCAAAATTTTTTAGTATACTACAATAAAAGGCACATTTTTAAATGTTTTTTATACACTTTTACCAGGAGAGCCAATAAACATGGAGGGTGCTGTTTGTCCTCGTCTTCAGTGTCTGTGATATGAAGACAGATTATGTTGATTACAATGCATTTTCCACTGAAAACATCAAAAACACACTTCCCATTACCTGAGATTTAGGCGCAGGTGTCTATTTGTGTAAAACGTAAATGTGACTTTAATGCACATATTAAATATGACAGAATTTGATCAGCTTTGCGCGTACAGAACAAAAAGTTTTAGTCTTAAAAAATAGTGAATATGCGACAGTTGATGAGCGACAAAGCAGAAAGTTTCACACACAGCTTCATTGCTCAGCAGCAGCTCAGATTAGTTTAAAAAGCGACGCCTGGAGATCGTTTTGGTGCCAGGCTTTTTGGCTCGGGCACAGCTGCAGACTTCCTGCGATGCCACTGCTTGAGGAAGAAAAAAAAAAGAAAAAGTGGCAATTTATTTTCACACTGTGGCATTTCCAAGGATCAGACAAGCAAGATGGGGCGTTTTAATTGGTGATCTTAGCTGGACACGGTGTGCTGTGCGCAGATAACATGCAGCAGCGCAGACCCCTCTGTTTTCAGTCAGTGGACTTGGCCAACTTCACACTTAGTTTACAGACAAACGAGAGGCGCGTTCATTTGGATTTATGTTCAAAATGTTTACCTTCTAATTCAATGATAGCCAGCGGCTTACATAACAAGGTTTAATAATCAGAGCAGGTAAGCAGGGATGGAGATGAAAAACAGCAACTAGTTGCATACAATTGGAAAGGAATTGAGATTAGTCACTGCTTAGTTAGCTGCTGATGATGACGGTGTGATCGTGTGGCGTTCATTTGCCCTCCAGTTGTGCCTCACAGTGAGCTTGGTTGTGCTGCTACTTCATCTGGGCTTTTAAATGAGAGCGAGCGGCGGCGCTTGGATGTCAGGAGAACAATCCGGAGGAATTAGAGGCAACGGATCGGCTGATGTTCTCTGTTTGTGTCTCCGGGCCACTGGGAGAATCCCATCGACTCCCCTGCTCATTAGGCTGCTGCCTTTGTCAGACCAAAATAAAATAGATATTAGGCAGGAAGACAGGGGAGGGAGGTGGGCGCTGGGATGGATGTTTAATTGGGTGCTCGGCGTGTTGTGTGTTTTTCCTCCCCGTCTCACATTCACCTCAATCGGTGGTGGGAGTTGGAGTTGGAGGGGTGTTGGTACTCTGCGCGTCTTGAGCGGATTCTCATGTCGGTTTTGTGTGGAAATCCGAAGCATCTCGCCGCATCATCGTTCCCCGGCTCCTGACACCTCTCGCTGGGGGGATGGAGCTGCAGCGTCAGCCTCATTAAGGCCTCCACTGTCTCGCTAATGAATCGATTGTGTGGTATCAGTGCTCCTGGCTGGCGCTCCCACCGTGCCGCTCCACGCCTCCTCTGGGGGCCTCCCTTCCACTGAACTCTTAATCAGGAAACAGCCCTAATTACCCCACCTCCCCACCCCACGACCCCCCGTTTAACGTCGCTTCCTTCTGCGCTATCTACTCGTTTTTCCCCCTCTCTTTCTCCTCACAACTTTATCTTTACCCTCCACCGCCCTCTCCCCTTTGTCTTCCTTATCTTGCCGTTTCTCATCCTGCCTCTCGCTCTCTCTGCCATCGTGCCTCATTCGACGAGCTTAGACCAGGTGGAGGAAGGGGGACGTCTGGGAACAACTGCAGCAGCTTATATTACAGCAGAAGAGGAGGAGAGGGCAGCGGGGAAGTGTTTCTTAGGGCTGATGGTTCGAGAGGATGAAGACGACGTTTTTGGCGGCGTTGAGAATCAAGTGGAGTCGATGCACAACAAAGAACAACAAATAAAAATAGAAAGAAAGAAGGAAAGAAAGAACGAAAAGCCTCTGTCCGTCCTGTCCTCTTATTCTTTAATACACCACTTCGTACACAGTGGCCTTCTTGTCCCCGGAGCCCGTCACGATGTACTTGTCATCTGGGGAGACGTCGCAGCTCAGCACAGACGAGGACTCCTTGGACTGGTTGAGAAGAACAGATGGGGAGAAACCCGGAAAAGAGAGAGAGAGAGAAACGAGGAAAGAATTAAAAAATATGACTCAACGGTTAATCCTCCACCGCGCGAGACATATTTGCATTTCAAAACAGCCGGCAATTATATTCCAAACAGACAAACGCCGCAGAGCCCGGATGTCTGCTCCTTTCTGGAGAAACGCCGCCGTCTCTGAGGGCGGGTTAAAGACGCGCCGCTTCCCCGGTGGCCAGAAAGGAACGACCTGTGCACCTGGCCTCGGATGATCTAAAACTGCTCCATCATCATTCATTCTCCCTCCATTCATCACAGGTTCTCCTCCTCATCCTCTCTCTCTCTCCTGTTGACTCTCTAAACTCCTCCGCCCTCTTCCCGCTACATGCGCAGCGGGCCTGTCAGTCATGGGCGCACAGGAGAGAGAGACCGTCTTACACAGGTTCCCTCATATCAGACCGAGCAGCAGGAAGTGGAAATAAAAGTAGAAAAGAAAGTCCAGAAGGAAGAAATGCACTGACAGTTAAGAGAAAACCAAAGACAAAAATGAGGGAAAACAAACAACAAACATTCCATCCAGATTGTCAAATTTCTTATCAAAGTTGCTAAAAAAAACAGAGAGAAAATACTAAAACATTTATTTTTAGAAAACAATGAATGAATAACAGAGTTGTTTTCCATGAAATCAAAAGACATTTTAGTAAACAAACAAAAAAAGGATTAAATTATTTACAAAGTGAAACAGAAGTTGTCTAAGCTCAATGCCAAGTGTAATGAGTAAATATTCATAAGGGGAAAAGAAAAAAAAGAGCAAATCACACAAACCTGATGACCAAAGGAAAGTTTAGCTCATTTGTATTCAGCTTTGTAAAAAAAAACAAAAAAAGAACCACCACCTGCTAATGCAGGCTGACATTTCTACCAGTTTTTTCCTGGTGTTTAGCTCCATTCATCTTCCCATCAATAACAACCAACTGTCCCTGCAACCTGGAGGAAAACTGAAGCCATGGCACGATGCACCATCACCGAAGGGATGCTGAATTCAGTGGCTGTGCACAAAGCTTTACACCAGACAGCCTCCTGCATGTCGGCTAACAAGTTTAAAATTTGTAAAAAAAAAAATCTGTCCTGCCTCTGGATAAGAACCACTGAATTGTTAATAGCGGTTGAGGAGTCTGCTGCAGAATGAGAACCTGTCGCCGCATTGTGTTCCCACGTTGACTGCGATCATTTATTCGTCAGTGTTTGGAAAGCAGAGTTGCTGAAACTAAATGTCTTACTGTATAACTTGCAGTACGTCCTGCATAAGAACAGAAGTCCCTCCCCCTGCTGGAGAACATAATAAGTGCAACTCGACGGCTGCTTCCATCTTTTATGCATGTTGACAATCAATTCCTGAATGAGCATGTTCAGTACAGGACATTAGTTAGACAGTATGTTTTTTGTTTGTTTGTTTTTTAACTGTGTGTAAAATGCTATCAGTTCATATTTATCACCCAGTATGTCACCGGTTTGATGAAATGACTTTAAACAGCAGATGAAACATAAACTAAGAGGTTTGTGTTGTTCGCTGGCTGCTTGTTTTTATATCTGACATTCATTAAAAAAATAGGATAATAATTTAATTTATCCTAGAAAACCCCAGTAATTTAGAGGTTATATAACATATCCTGTCAGCTTTTCCTGAAATGATTCAACATTATAAATGCCGAAAACAACACAAACAAAAATAAAGCCCAATAAAAGACAAGTACCTCTCTTAATAGGCACATATTGTTGCAACTTATTACACAACACTGCTACAGTCTCTAAATTGCGAAGAAAAGCATAGCTTTGCAGCACAACTGTGATATTAGGAGGACTGATAAGATGTCCTCTTTGCGAATAATGTGTTGCCAAGACGGAGCAAGAAATAAAAACGGATGAAAGAAGAAATTTCACACTAATTAAAAACTAAAGGCAGGATATGTACAAGAAAGTTCCAACAAGGGCAGAGCAGAGAAAAAATTAAGACATGGTTCAAATAAATCTGGGGAAGATAAAAAAATCCAAGGGAGAAAAAAAAAAAAAAAGAGTAAAAACATGCAATCAGGAGATGAGTGTGGCTTTAAAGAGACGCAAGGAGACAGAAACAGAAAAAGACAGCAATAAGCAGGAAGGAGGAGGGGAAGAGAGAGCAGCTCTGTGTAACAGGCTGAAAGGAGGAAGCTGCTTGGCAGGAGCAACGTTTGGCATTTGGATAACAAAGCAAGATAGCCTGCCTTCTCCTCTCGGTCCATAGAGAGAGACAGGAGCCGCCAACCCTGCTGCCCACAGAAGATCACACAAATATGACAGCCACACACACACACACACACACACACACACACACACACACACACACACACACACACCCACACCTCCACACACACCCACACCACACACACACACACACACACACACACACACACACACACACACACACACACACACACACACCCACACACCGAATACTCGGCTTAAATGGATCTTCATCTCCCTTCTCTCATTTCATTCACACACAGATGTACTGGCTCAGCTAAAAATACTGCATCTCTGCATATGCGTGATTCACCATTAGCCTGGAATGGAACACCTGGACTAGGTGGAATTATGACATAGGGATGCTGTGTGTGTGTGTGTGTGTGGGGGGGGGTAGGAGGGGGTGTTGAGGTTTCACATCCTGCACCCTCTGATAAACCTGTAAAAGTCACCTTAGGTCAGCAGCTTTCTTTTCGATTTAAAACATTTCTCCATCTTTCTTCTGAATATAAATGTGTCACCAACAATTTAAACACATGAGCCATTCCCAAATCAAAAGTCAAAACATGAACATCTGGATTTGGATGTGCTGCGCATTGTTTTGTATCTAACTTGTGTAGAGGATAAACAGCCACGGAGTTCAGCTCTCACCTGGAAAATGCTCGCTCCATATGGTGTCCTCCATGCGTTCAACAGATTGTCTTTTCCTGTGCTGACAAACCACTTTCCTGAAATAACAGGAACACACAGCGCAGCATGTTACCAGGAGTCCAGGGAGGACTGGTCTCCAAGTTGCTCTTGGAGGATCAAAAATAAATGAATGCTGCTGCTTGTGCGCGTACCGCAGTATGCGAACTTGAGGGAGAGAACGCAGCTCTCGTGGAGGTGCAGCTGGTACTTGTCGGGTTTGGAGACATGCAGCACTTCCACGTTGCTGCTCTCCATCCCCACAGCCAACCACTCGCCTGTGGGACAGTAACCCAGGGAGAAGATCTGGGGAACAGGAGACGGCGGTGGAAGGATTAGAGAAGGAGATAAAAGTTCAAAGGTTATTTGAATCGTGTGCGAGGAGGAAAAAAAAAAGGCCATTGATACAAATGGAGAAAAAAAAAAGAAATAATCACAGTGTAATTAATTGAAGTTTAAAGAAATTCACCAAGATATTGATTGGTGGTCATAATGGACGGATTTGCAAATCAGTCACACATTTCAGATGTATTTTCTTCCAGGCAGTGCAACACAGAGTACGACCTACTCAGTTCTTTAAAATACTCTCTCTCATAGGCTACAGACTGCTACACAAATCTCGTTCAGTTCCATCATTAAAAATTGGAAAAGGGTTGGTTTTAAATAAACATTTTACCGGTTAGGGTCAGGTCCCTAAACAACACTTGTTAAATAAACGGCACCTTCAAGGTGTTTGTCGGAAAACTTCTGGCAATCAAGTAACTTTGACTTTTGTTTTTTCTAGTGCAATAATATACGTTTATGTTTGAGTTGCTTTGTTTTTTCTTACCTGTGAGGTGAAGTCGTGCTGCTGCAGCTGCCGGCCCTCTCTCAGGTCCCAGCAGCGGACCGTGTTGTCCAGCCCTCCTGTCCAGAGCTTGGTGCCATCATTGGAGATGTCGATGCAGCTCGCTCCGTCCGTGTGGCCCTGGAACTGCCTGCCAAGGACACACACACATACACAAGAGTTTTAGAGAAGAGAAACATACACACACGCACACACACCTGCAAATACACAAATCCTGCAGACTTTGCTTTCTGTGCGTGTCTTTGCATCTTTTCTGCTAGAGGTGTCAGAATGAATATATTTTATTCCCTCTTTCCCTGCAGCACTTACTGCCCTGAGCCCACCCACACATGATCCTTTTTTTTCTGCCAGTCCTCGTGAGCCTTACCTCAGCACCTTCCCTCCCCCTTCTTCCTGTGTTTCTTTCTCTCCTGTCATGCCAAAGCTGACTGTTTTAATCTCTTTATACCCCCTGTAGCAAGTTTATCCTTCATCTCTTTCCTTCTCCTGTTACATTCTTTAAAGGTTATCTTCTTTTCCTTTATGCTTTTCGTACATTTCTCCCTCTTCCAAGAATTTCTACGGCAGATCAAATTGAAACACTTTTGAACATTTTCAAACCTACCTGACCAGCGTCTGGTTGTGCAGGTCCCAGACGACGATGTTGCCGTCGCTGCAGCAGGAGAAGCAGACCTTGTTGTCGGGGGAGATGGCCAGGGCGTAGCAGGCCGGGGCGGACGACGTCAGCTCCGCCTTGATGCGGGGAGTCGGCGTGGCCAGATCCCAGATGGACAGCGTGCTGGCCTCGCCTCCAACGATCAGGGTCCGACCGTCAGGGAGGATTTTACAGGAACGGATGTAGTTATCTCTGTTCTGATTTGAAAAGATAAGGAGCAAGGTTACCACAAAGAGCACAGAAAAGAAAATAGCTAAGTAACTCTTGTAAGATGCCTTTGTAGAGATGTTTTACAAAATAACAAATTTACAGCTGGTTAATGAAAAATATTTTGCGTCACAAATTTTTTTTTTCTATCCAGCAAAATCCAAAAAATAATCCCAGGTTTTTAATTTTAAGAAATTATCACTTATTTTTCTTTTAGCTGGCATGTGATTCCTAATGTCAAATTAACATTTAAAGTATCAATTAATATTTCTATGTTCGTAATTTTACTATCAGAAACTGCTACTAATAAAGAAACACAAAAAAACTGATCACTGTGGTTTCTGTGCATCATGAACTGAGTTTGACCTGATTTTAAACTTCCTGTGAAAGTAGGGTTTTGCTTGACCTGGTTCTATTAAATGTAATCATTTTTGGTCTCTTATCCAATAAGTATCTGAAATATGAAATATAAAATTTTGGGGGGAGAGAGGAAGTGGTCGGGATAATTTAAGAATAATTTTCTGAAAGACGTTTCCCCTTCATTCCTCTCCCATCATGTCTCACCAGACAGTCCAGCTGGGCCATGGGGCTCTTGCTTCCCGGCTGGCTGATGTCCCACACCTTGACGCAGCCTTTGCCCCCGGTGTAGACGTGGCGTGTGGAGGTGCTGATTGTGACGGCGCACACCACCTCCCCGTGGCTCAGCGTGTGGATCTGACGGGCATGACGCGGGATGCCCGGGCCCAGCAGGGCGTCGGGTGGGAACGGCACCGGCTGCATCTGGCCGTCGGCGCTCACATGGAACGAGTAGGCGCTGGGAAGGAGGGAGGAAAATAAAAAACTGAAAAACAGTTGTTGTTTTTTTGTTTTTTTTTAGAATTTAAGATGCAAAGGAGAATAAAAAGTAAAATGTACTAAGGATAATAAACTAGATGGAGTCAATCAATGAGAGCACAAAAGCAGAGCAGCAATTAAATACACAAAATTCAATAAGAACCACAGAAAGCTCACACATTGGTGTGAAAGTTGCAAACTGTGTTTGTTCAAATTTTGGGCAAATTACTGAGCTCTGAGCAGCTGTGGGTGCAAATGCATGATGGCGGATTGTATCACAGGCAGAGGCGGTGTGGCACCGCTAATGGCCAATCCATAGAGTAGCGGCTGGAAGCCAGACCTGTTTTATGATTTCAAATTAGCAGCACAAGAATGAATTGCTCTGTGTAAGACAAGAACAAAATCACAATGGCTGGATCTGCCAAACAACATAAAAAGTGTAAACGTGTGTGAGCACTGCAGATGTTTCTGTCTGTGGCTGGACTTTAGGTAACACAATTACAAAATGTTCAAAATGCTTATGGGCAACACTTACCTATTTCCTTAAGGATTCCTAGAATTTTGACTCCTTTTATTTCATTTTTGTGCAATTCGCCACACCACAGGACAAATTTGTTTCACCATGTTATTTACATCAAGGAGATCTCACAATGTTTTTTTTCATAAAACACTTAAAAACTGTTGAATATATTCCAAAGCACAACCAAAGATGCAACAGTCACCTAAAAACCTATCAGAGCTGGTTTTAATAATAAAACATCCAGCACCTGAAGGCAGTGATGAACAAAGAAAAATAGAAATCAAAGCTCCTTCGTTCTAAGAAACAAAATGAAATCGTCGGTCGAATCCCTTTTGAGGAATGAGATTCTCATGACATGAGAAGCTGAGAAGAAACAATAACACATTTTCACAAACCTGTTCTTCCTGACCGATCCCGGTGCCAACAAGGTCAACCCAAACACATGCGACACATTAACCCAGGGGTGCTCAAGTCCAGTCCTACCATCCTGCAACTATCAGATGCATCCCTGCTCCAACACACCTGAATCAAATGAATGGCTCGTTACCAGGCCTGTTCATAGCAGAGCCTGGTCTACTGGAGTAAGGCTGCAGCTAAAAGTTGCAGGACTGTAGCTCTCGAGGACTGGACTTGAGCACCCCTGCATTAACCCATATAGGCACGATGCGCATAACAGGCAAAAGCTCTTCTAAATTATGAAAACAATATTTTCTACTATTTTCTGCCTTTGCAGGTTAGAGAGGCCCCTTCACTGTCCACTTTTAAAACTCGTCTTAAAACCCATCTGTTTTACTTGGCCTTCAACTCCAGCGAGATCTAGTTTTACATTGTATGCTTGTTTGTTTTAAACTGTAAGAGTTTTTATTTGTTTTTATCTATTTTATGTACAGCACTTTGTATCAGCTGTGGTTGTTTTAAAGTGCTTTATAAATAAAGTTGGTATGGTATGGTACATCAGCAACACTCATCTTCAACACTATACAGCTAAGTGAGAAAAATATATGTAAATAGGTGCTATAGACGCACATCAGATAAAACACGCAGCAATGACAGCCTAACATGGTGCCATCTTCCTGTTGTGGAAAAAGGACTATTTTACCAGCGCTGTCAGGTGAAATCACTCAATCAGGTTTATTTGTGTATTGTGCACAATACAGAGAGCTTGTAGGCCAGATTCAATAATGAAGCGGTTCTGAGTGAAAGCTCTGTGAGGCAGAGACAACACATAGGTTTTATACCAAGGTAAGGAATCCAAAACATGGGAAAGTCAGTCTGGTTCACTTGCAGCTGCAGCGAAACAACTTCCAACCTTGTGTGTGTAGCCCAATCAGGTTATTTTGATGAGAGTTCACAAGCATTTAATATAACATGATCAGCAGATGTGAACTTATAGTCATTTTCCATCACGCTACACAAACTACATGTCAGATCATCAAAACCCAAGCTCTGCTCTTTCGATCGACACCAGAATCACCAAACTATTTGCGGAACCCTCTGAGACGGAAAAACACGGCTCCTTTCACGAAGCCAAAAACTTTAGAATTCAATCCTACTTTTGCCGTTTTATGGTCATAATCCATGTTAGAGTAAATATTTCCACTCAGCTCCTGCAATTAATTGTCCTTGCATCACACTGATGTGATTCCTCACTATTGTCTAAGCATAACCTTACACTTCCTTTTATGCATGTTAGAATGTGATCCTCTTTCATCCAGATGACTGACAGTGTGCAGCAAAATGTGGAGGAAAGAGGCAACATTTTACATTCGCACTGCATGCAGCTGGATGAAAACCCTGGTCAGTCCATGAATTTGTCACCTCATTAAATACATAAAGATCTGAAACGAATAAAGAGAAGAAAAAGTCCTCAAGTTTTAAAGCGTTAAATAAAAGTTGTTCTCAGCAATGAAAATCTAAAATACGCTGAATCGTGAGTTTATGATCTAGGTCTGGGAGGAGTTTGTTTTTGCTGCATGCAAACTGGGGGAAATATCACCTCTCGGCTTGTAAATTATGTAAGTGTGTACTTACGGTTTTCCACCAGAGGAACCAGGGAGAGAGGAGGACAGGCCAGGAGCCCTTAGGTGAGACCGAGAGTCGTACGCCACCTGGTTGGAAGAAATAAAATGCACCTTGACGTGGATTTAAAGAACCAATTTACATATTGGTTTCACAACAATGACAGCGCAAATGTGAATTGTTCCATTTCATTTCACCTGAACTCATAAGTGCTCGGGCGCACGATGCAGCAGGCAGACATGATACAGATTACATGTAGGAATGTGAAAAGGCAAAACCTCCTGTCAGAGGCAACTGACCCGAAACTTTGTCTTCCCTACAGACGTTTCTCTCTATGAAACTTGATTAAACATTGTAAACATGACAACTCTGAGAGTATAACGAATGCACTGCACTGATACGGACAATGCAGAGCCAATTCATCAAATATTTCAACAGTAGCGGGACAGTCGGGAGGGCTGGATCTGAATCATAAATCAAAGCTTGACAGAGAGGAATAATTTGGCCTTGTTGCTCACCATGGGGCTGCGGGAGTAGGCGCTGGCTGCGGCGCTGATCTGTGGAGAGAGAGTCAGAGCTCCTCCGAATCCCCCCGGGCTGGCCAGCTCCCCGTTCAGCCCTGCGTGGGACACCACGCCAAAATGAGCCGGGTATGAACCGGGGGGCACAGACATGGGGCTGCGGAGAGCTGGGAAGGCAGGGAAAGAGGAGGGAGCGGTTGAAGGATGGGGGAACCATGTGCAGCACACAAACACACGAGTCACAGAGGGGCTGAGATAAATGGATTGCTTCCTCTTCATACTGGCCTGGCAAAAGACCTCAGCGTTCATGTACTAGACCAACATTTCCAAAACTTTAAAACTAAATGTTTTTAGTTGATTCGGTTAGAATGGCATAAAGTAAATACTAAAAACTGGGGATAGCAATGCCACAATCATGAAAATTAATAAAAGCTGAGGGGAAAGAGGGAAATGGGGGACAGAGACAGACCGGGTCCAAATCTAACCAAGGTCACAACAGCTGAATCAAATACTCCATTAAGTTCAGTTTCAATTATAGTAAGTTTATTAACTTGTTTAGGTAGATTTGTTTGAAAGATAACTATTACATGCCAGGTTTCCTCTCTAATTGATGAGATGAATAAAATATTAGGTTTGAGCTTGACACTTGGTTCTTTCCCCTTAGTTTTGTGTGCAGGTACAGCATGGAGCCAGAATGTTTTATATTTTTTATTTAACTTGCGTAATTCTCACCAAGTGGGTCTGCACTTGTTGCAGCTTTGCTGACCAGACGAAGGCAGGAGGTGCTGGGGCCTGGAGCTCCAGGCGCTCCGGTTGATCCCGGGGTCAGAGCCTCACGATGGGATGGGGACGGAGTGCCAGACTTGGACAGTGGAGACTGGGACTTGTCCATCTGTGGAGATATCAAACAATCAAAATAACCAAAAAATGTCCCAGTCTAGCACTGAAGCTGTCTTATCAACACTTTAAAAATATACTCCTTAGATTTTTTTTTTAGATTTGGTCATATAGCTACTGGGACAGTTTTGTGACAGTAGTTAATTAAATTGCCTTTTATTAACACAATTTTCAATCAGACATTTTAAAGATTAAATAATAATAATGATGATGAAGAACCAATGCCGACTAATTGAATACTTTTTTTTATCATTAAAGTATTTAAAAGAAAACAGTTGATATAGCGTTTTAGTAACATGCTGATATAATATGCTTATATAAAAAAGCTGCAGTGCGTGCAGGAACTTTTTGAGACACTTTTCACCTGTGCAGGGTCCTTGGCCTTCCCTGGGGTTGGGCTGCGGGGGTTTGGTGTGGAAGGCGCCTCTCCTGCACTCGATGAACCAGGCAGCTCTTTCCTCAGAGTCGGCGCCCGGTCCAGTCCGTTCCCATGGGGGGAGTGAGGCGGGCTGCCGGTGGGAGAGTTGGCCTCCTGAATGAATGAAGTGAGGTTGCAAAAACATTTAAAGTGTTCAAAGTTCACGTGTTATTTCTTTAATCAATGCTGATAGACTAGTTTTATGTACCAGATATACAATCTTTACAGAATGATTTTCTGTAAAGACTAACAAAAATGTTTCTTTTTTGTTTTTTGTTTTCCACTATTGCTCTTGCTGCTGACAGCAAAAATGGTTGCGGTTCCACATAGCTAATTTACTCTCCCCAATTTGACCCCAGCAGTTTAACTGCACAACATAAGCAACGCAAAGTGGTTCAACATGTTGAGTAAAAAAAATTCATTTAGTTCCAGTCATTTTACTAGTCCATGCAAGACCAGTCAAATTTAAAAGTTGTGCAATCAGGACATTATAAAGTGCACAATTTGTTGACTAAAAGTCAATTTAAATGTGCAAAAGCTGAAAATGAAGCAAAATCTTACGCTATAGATATATCCACAAGAAATCATTGCAAGTGCATCAATGCGCTTTGCTTCACTTTAAAGATGAATCCATGTGAATGTAAACTGTTAAAGCACACAGCATTAGCCGCTGATTCTTTCTTTGGTGCTTTTTCAATCTCTCTGCAGCCAATAGCAGGTCTGTTGTCACACTGACTGTACTGACTCTTCCTTCTAGTTGGACCTTTAAATAGAGTGAGAGCTCAGGGGACATTACATGAGAGAAGAGACTGTCACTGGCGTGGTTGCAGCACGATGTGGACCTGGAGACATTGTTGTATGTTACAGATGCTTTCATCACCGGAGCCACTGTTGAGCCAGCGCTGCCTCCTCCAGAACGGAGCAGGCTCATCTCTCACAGTGATCAGCAGTCATTTTGTGCCACACACATTGGCATGCATGCACACTTCGAACTACACTTTTAACCCACGCACAGGCACATTTATGTAAATGCATGTGGAATCTCTATATTGCAAAGAAGTCCTTGCAAAAACAAGTATTTCTTTTTTGGTTCCATAATCCACATTTGTCACTTTTCTTTCTTTTTTTTTTTTCCTGTCGTCTTTTGTAGCAGTTTCTAAGTCACACAAGAGACCAGTTCTGCTTTTGTTAGCAAAATCAAGATACACAAGGCTCAGAGGAGAAATATTTTGGTACACAGCGTGAGGTATTAAAAGAACTAGTCTTCCAGGGGCATAAATGGCTTTGCATATATTAAACTAACCAGACTGTAGTTATCTAATGAGAGGAGGAGAAGGGGAGAGCGCCGAAGGAACGGAGAAAAAGAAGAGAGCAGAGAGACGGAAGAACAGAAGCTTTGAGAGTGCAGACGGAGGACAAAAAAAAAACACTCTGAGGAGAAAGATTTGAGGCGATGTGGAAAGTATCTGTGAATGTATGTGTTGTGTCGGTGTGTCGGCATGTGTGCGTGGACATGTTTCACAAGCAGGGAGCACAAACAGTGGCAGCTGATAATGAGCTTACACAAGAGTTTCCCCTATGTACAAAGAAACTGCAGTGGCCAGCTGAGCAAGTACCGTACCTGCTGACTCCTTTCACGTTCCCCAGACATGCACACGGAGAACAAGAAGCAGGAAACCGGGCCAAACAAAAACTGCACATTTTAACTACTATGTGCAGAAAGGATGAAATTATCTGGCTGGTTTCTCTGCAACTCGCCTATTCTCAGTGTTTACCCTAAGCAAGAAAAAATATTGTCATCTACTTCCTACTTCCCTTTGTGAAAGTTTACCTGTTTTTTTTCCTTTTGTTAAAACCTAAAAAAACAATTTCGAAAATTTTTATTTGATGATAAAAACCAACATCAATGACAAAAATATTGCATCTTGCTTGTCAAAGTCCAAGTGATCTCTGTGTGTAAAAGAAAACAGATAAAAGTATCCACTTCTGATCTGAAAATAGCAAGCACATGCCCATTCAGACTATATTAACATCTAATTAATTTTGGGTTATTTGCATTTAAGCAATTCTTTTTAGAGGTTGGAAAGATAACCTACATCTTCAGTAATATTTGCCCTGAGTCAGAACAGCTAAACAACAAACCCTGTGAATGATACATTTTTTGAGTTATGATTATTTTTTGCTATTTTTTTATGTTCAAACCATTTTGAGATATTTTTAACTCTTTACCTGATATGGTTAAATTGTTTCAATCTCAATTAGTGGAAGAAACAATGAAATAAATAACAGGCTTCTAAATGCTCAGTTTCACTCACTGACTGAATATCTGGCAAGCAGTGTTGCTTGGGGTAAAGTACAAGAAATCTATTAAAGTTTTTGCACATGAAACAACCATTTGCTGCAGCCAAAAATTGGTTTATGAGAGCGAACGCGAGCGGAAAGGAAAAAGAAAAAAGAAATCAATGAACTGGATTTTTTTTGCAAGTACTGAAAGAGCTGACGGGAAGAGTGAGCTGACCATGCTGAGCAGAGACACTGTAAGCATGAGGTTGTCAATTTTAGTGCAGCAACTTGCCTCATTGGAGACGTCCACCACAAGATTGTCTTCGCTTTTGTCTCCATCACTGTCCTGCAGATGGAAAGACAGCACGGGAACGTTATTTTTTTCGACACCCATAGTACTGTAAACCGTACTTATAAATAAAGAGCTTTAATAAAGAAAGACATGCACAGTTGCTCAAGTGCATACACAGATCAATAAATCGATATTCCTGGCTGCTTTTTGCTTCCTCTCACTGTCTGTCCTCCATGCAACATTAAACACAGAGATACTGTACCTTATGATCTCACCAAGCATCGCTCCTATACAAACTCTGTTTTTTAATCTCTTACAATCTGCAGACACACACACTCTTTCAGCTCTGCACCATCTATGGCACATCTTTAGCTTTTTGTCCGGACGTCTCTCTCTCTCTGTTTGTCTCTCTCTCTCTCTTTTTCCTGAAGTGAGAACGATGGCACTTAGTCACCATGGCAACAAAGCTTTGATGCGATCCGTGCGCTGATATTTCTATTGACATCAGTGCCTAAATATGCAGAGCCCAAACAGGACAAATCATTTAGTCTATTCCTGGAAGAAAAACAAGCAGCCGGATGGACATACGGCCAAGGTGAAGCGGTTTCAAAAAGACGGGGAAAAATCCGGAGGTCCAACAGGCAGACCAAGAGAAATAAGTGGTGAAATACGTCTCGACAGATAGAACGAGGGGAAAGACGTTTGGAGAGCTGAAACTATCCCTGCTTGTTTCGCGCTAATGGGAAAGATTTAGGTTGCTGTTGTTGATGCCGAACTGATTTTCCTGGAGGCAGTCTTCTCGAGACAAACTCCTTGTGTCAATCAATCTCACCGACTGCAAACACACAACCATCTAATTCATTACAGCTATCTGCCTTGGCTGTCTCTCCTCTGGCATTACATCCCCTCTGGCTGCTTGCTCTGCCCCAGCAGACCCATCCAAACCAAACACGGCTCTAAATGACGATGGGCTCTCGACTCCCTGGAGGCCGCTAGTGTCATGGGCAATCTGTCGCACACACCAGCTCACACACACACATTAGAGAGTGTGTATCGACACAGTGCTTTCTTTGAACAAATAGCTGAAAATAACGGTTTGCTGTAGACAAGATAAACTGATTTTATTTCAATAAATGTCGGCATATTTAACTTACTTTGGATCATTGAGGGACATCAATCAAGCAGGAACTTGGATTTAAATGGGGGGCTATTGTGTGATGCTATTTATTTCCAATAGATTTACTATTGTCTTATGTTAGACGAAGGCTGCGCTCAACTTGAATGCAAATGAAAATAATAAGTTAAAAATGTTTCAGTTATTTACTGGGAAACTTGTCAGACCTGCAATTTGTCAAAAATAACATTATTGTTAAACTATACTTAATAATAACGTTTCATTGTTAACGTTATTTTATTGTTGACAAACATGATTGTTAACATCTGTGCTTAAAATAATGTTGTTTTTTATGCTTTTAACCCTTTCAAATTGGTGTTTGGCTAACTTTGAAACTCGACTGTGTGGATGTGCGTGTGCAGCTGTGTGTGTTTGTGCACCATAATCATTGGATCATGAGTATTTCTGATAAGAAAGTATTTTATATGTTATATTGTGCAGTATATTAACATTATTAATATTATAGCACTGACCACACTAATACTCTCTCTGTACTGATGAAGGTTCACTCACCTCGGGATGCCAGATACTTGAAGTTACTCCACCTATTTTCAGTATGACTTAATTTGTTTTGTTTTGTTTTTTTTTTCCATCTCGTAATTTGTTCTCCACTCGGTGGGAAACATTAACAGCTTTTGTAAGTTTTAAATGACGGGAAACAATCGTTAGGTGCGGATAATAATAAAATGAGACTGCAGTGAAGTCTGGATGCAGTAGAACATTGTAAATATTGCACCCGTTATCCAAATACACACCCACTATGCAACTTGTGGAGCATCCCAAGTGACACTTGATGCTTTTCATGTGCTTAATTTAGATACATGACATAAGAATACAACTTAAGTACAAATCTATCACAGCAATCGGCAGATAGACGTACATAGGAGTGGGGAGGGAGGGGCTCTTTATCATCACAGCGCCTCCTCTTGGCCTCAGCCCCTCCCTGCAAGGCAGAGTATCCTCCTGAGGGTCCTTGGCGCTCCTCAGTGGGCTGGCTGTCTGTTGACGACACCGACTTACTCTAAAGACAGACGGAGGCACAAAGAACAGTAGAAATATTATGGTCCGTTATTGAAATAGAAACAGGTGATGAAACTATGCATAAGCAAAGGAAGAACATCAAAGGACATAATCAATCATGTTTTAAAAACCGAGTGTGAATACACACACACACACACACCTCCGTTATTCAGGTAATGGTGTGTAGAAACACTTGTGAAGACGCACACACACACACACACACACACACACACACGCACGCACGCGCAGCAAGAAATGCAGACACAAGCACAGGTTAAGCCGTAGCCATAGCAGCACACAGGATAGCCTATAAAGCTAATTAGTGCTCTGCCCTCGACACACCAGTCCTCGTGTAAAATATGACTCTCATTATCGGGTAATAAAGCTGTTCAGCCATATTTACAATGCAGCCTGTGTTGCTGCTCAGCGCTGAAGAAATTGGATCGAAGCGTTGTGTTGTGTTTGTACACGCGGGAAAGGACAAGAGGTTCAGTGAAGGCCACTTGTCATTCTCGGCCCTCATGTGGGGAGCAGAGGAACAGGGAGGGTTTAGAGGTTTCCACAGGACGGAAACCAGAGCAAAGCAGCGGCGCACAAAAGAGATTACACAGTAAATCTCAGCAATGCTTCACAAACTTAAATTCATTTCATACTGTAGCATATTTTACTACCGTGCAGCTTTAAAAGCTAATTGATATGCATTTCTCAAGAGCTTTTTTTTCCCTCCCCACCCATCGTTCACAATGCTTGAGTAAGTTCAACCCACACTAATGAGAATCATATTTTCCCTGTGCTTTACAATCAATATTGTGTTTAGAAATTTAATTATGCAGGAGGTTTTGTTCTGTGATGAGAGTGAAGAGATAGAAAGTGAAAACAGCTGTTCTTTTAAATATTTTTTTTTTATTTCATAGTAAAAACTTAGAGCAAGGATATGGTGGCTCTAATTTTCCAACTTTTTGTTCATTCTTTAGAGTAGTTTGAATGATTTATTGCCAACAAAAGGTTTACAAAATACTCATCTTGGGCATGAATATCTACTTTTGGGATGAATTTAAACTTTTATTTTCTCAGATTAGGATGACCAATTCTGAAGCTGGTGAGCTGAAGTAAAGTTAAACAATTTGAAGGTATTTTCATTCTTCAATTTATTTAGTACAATTCACCAGTAGCACTGGCAGCTAAACAGCCCTCAATATGATATTACCACCACCATGTTTGACAGTTAAACTGACATTAATGAAAAATATATTTTATCACTATGGCCAAATGACTCAAACTTAGCATAAAACCTCTGTGCAGAAGACATTCGACCTGTCCACCCCGGTATGTTGAAGATGTCCATTTTAGAGACAGTGATATTTGTGGTGCAGCAGCTTCTAGTTTCTGATGATTTTTGGGGTATTTTTAAACATCCTAACCAGTTTTCCTTTTTTGAAGGAGGCATTTAGGATTAGGGTGTTAAAACCTGAAGACAACTGGGTAATCCAACAGATTCAAGGTCCCAAAACACATCAACACGGTTAGTGGAATAAATAAAACAGGCTCCCATTATGTTTATGAAATCCCCCAGTCTCAACCTTATTGAAAACGTGGAGGGTGTGGGTTGAGTGTGCGTGGAAAAAAAAACACTTGTGGAGAACTATGAATGTGAGGTTTTTCCTGAACATTTAGCAAAATATAAGTTTGTATACTGCAGCTTGGATGCTAAATTTTAACTCCACAATAAAGTGAAATATCGACTCTTAGATCTTGGTTTTGAAATTTGCTGAAGTTGTTTTATGATCATTCCGGCTCATGATGAGTGTTTTAAACATTTTCAATGTCACGTTTTTATCGCGTTGTGCTCGTTTGTTCCATTGACCCACAAACAGAACGAGTTTAAACTAGGAAAGTTTCAAAAACGCAGAGTATGGAAGTCGGAAAAATATTGAAGATATCAGTGCAGTCATTCATAGAAAAAATGTTTTTGTTTGTTTTCTGGTATGCCGCTGTCTTTTCACTGCGGCATGACACCTGCGTAACGCCACTCCTAATATGAACTAATGATACTGCAGACTGAGTTGCATTAGGAAACGGCTAATGAAATAGCCGTCACCAGGTTGTTAAATCTCAAAGCGATCAGTTCTACAGACAGCTACGTTAATTGTCTAAATCTCAACTGGGGCATTTGTAGCCTCAGTGGAAAAAAAAAAACAGTTCTCTATTCATCCATTCGGTAGTTTAGGTCCTTTCAGAGAAATGTGAAGTGCTACAGTGTTAGTCTAATGTAGAAAACCTTGAGAAGCTCAAGGCTGACGGTGATGAGCTGCTATTGTGCTGCTGTTGGGTTGTGATACTCCTGAAACAAATCCAGTCATACCCTGCCTTTTTTTTTTTTTTTTTGCGAGGCCACTTTACAGTGTGTCTCAATTTCCTTCAGTTTATCACTGTCACACAAGCACACACAGAGGGAAATGTGGGCGTACAAAACACTTGCATCAATATGCGCACACACACGCACATGCAAGCAAAAGTACTCACCCTGCTGGGGGCTCCCTCTGGGTCGTGGCGGAGGGTGGGGGAGGCGCAGAGAGCAATGCAGAGATAATAAGATTTATAGAGAAAAGAGAGAAGGTTTGACGTCAGTGCTAATAATAATAATAACAAGCCAGAGTCAGCCAAGGTAAGGATGAACTACGACTTTTAAAGATTATTAAAGATACAAGTAAACTATATATATATATATATATATATATATATATATATATATATATATATATATATATATATATATATATAAGAATATGTTATGTTATCAACATAACAACATGTCTAAACACTTGTATCTTCTTATTTCCGATTATTACTTTTAATTCGTTTCTGCTTTTTTCCAACTAGGACTCCTTTAACTCATGCGTAAGCCACTTGGCTCGGCGCCTGAGCACGGAGATAAGATATTCTACTGGGGTGAATCAGAGTTCAGAGGGAAAAGGCATTTCTTTCTCATCCACACAAGCTCCATGGATGCATCAGTCCAGTTTATGACACAAAACTAAAGAGGAAATATTACACTCCATCCAAAAGGTGAGCAAAAAAAAAAAAAGATGCTGCAAGTCAAAAATGCTATTTTGCATTTTATCTTGTCTGAAAAAATAGAAGTGATGTACATTTTATGCTGTGGTTGTCTAAATGTCTCCCTTCATTTTATATCTGAAGGAAATGTAATTTAACCAACACAAAAATTCAACATAAATACAGAAATACACTCAGTCACAGTATTGTGTGCAACTATTTGCAAAACACTGAGCTTCTTTTGGCCAAAAAGTAAAAGATACTTTTATTTATTTACTTATTCGTTTCCTACAGCACACTTGTGACTTGTAGACAGGGACATGTTTGCTGCTCTGTTGCATCATTTCAGACAACACTGGAAGCCTTCGGGAACAGATGAAAATCGATTGGTGTAGTTTTAAAAGCAATGTTTTGAGATCCCTGCATGATTTCAGCTGTTGTTTTTTATACAACAGTGAACTTGATATTTTTAGGGATTATTTGGACTTTTAATACCATTGAAAAGCATACATGACAAATAAAATATACTTTATTTCCAAATTAGTTTCTATTCTAAAAATACAGAATTTCAAGTAGAAAAAAAAAACAGACTTTTTTTATGGCTCATATCACTTATTCTTCTCTTACAGCATTTAAAAAAAAAAAAACAAGTAAATTGAATTGAATAAATCTGGAATTTGAAATGGCCACAAAGGAAGGTTAACTTAGCGTCTAGAAAACAAGTTCTGTGTTAATTTGACTTGTTGTGAATAAGTTTCTGTCGTTAGTTACCAAAAAACTCAAACTTGCTTTTATCTGACCTAATAAGTTTAAGAAGTTTCGATTTGTTGTGACTGAATGGCATCTTCTAACCGGTTTCAGATTTACAGAAATAAAACGTGTTTTTGAATCAATCATTAAAATGTACAGGTTTGTCTTGCTTGGCAAAGAATCCACAGATTCTTACCTCGAAGGTGTTCTGGATCAAGATGGTTTCGCTCGTCTTTGGAGGCGAGGTGGGCGGAGACCCCCAGAGCGCCGGTCAAAGCCAAAAGCCCGGAGCTCCCCGCACCGAGGGACAAGCCTGATGGGTGCGGTGTCAGAGGGATGCCGGGGGCGTGGTGAGACAGGTGCTGGAGCTGCTGCTGCTGTGGCCACAGGGAAAGAAGAGAAAGGGAAGGGAAACGACAAAAAAAAAGGAGGTTAGAAAAGTTCGATTTGAAAAGAGAAAAGGAGCTAAAAACACAACAGGTGGTGGGATGCAGCAAATGAAACAGGAGAAATTAGAAGGTGAATGTGATTAAATTACAACATCAGAGAAAATTAGAATGATGGCCGACAGGACGCAGAAGACGTTAGGCATTAAGACTGGACTATGACAACAAGAAGCAAAAACAGAAAAAGGAGAAGCAAGTTGAAAAAATTGTGAACATAAAAACCAAAATGTGATAAAAGAAAATGAAAAACAGAAAAGGGAGAGTTGGTAAGAGGTGTAAAATATTGAGGCAATGGGATTTATTACAAAAGAAAAGCCAGGAAAGGGAATAGGGGAAGGAAAAGGCCAGGGGAAAACAGAAAGGTTTAGAAAGAGAGGAAAATACTTGAGTTTCAGAGCAAACAAGGCAAAACAAAGTGAAATCATAAAGGCAGTGAAGAGCGAAGATGGAAAAAAGGAGAGTTAAATGAGTTCAGAAAAAAAGAAGAAAAAGTGTAGCTCACAAAGAGCAAAAAAAAAAACAGATGGGAGAAAGGAGGACACGGTCAAAATAAGATGAAGAAAATGATCAAAGATTACGTGGAGGGCTGGATGGGAAAAATACAGACAGAAAATGAACACAGATGGAAAAAAATAGAGGAGAGAGTGGAGAGCAAAGGAGCATCTACCGATAAAGCAGGGCTATTATCCTGAGGGGGGCATTAGAACGCGTTTTCATGTGTTGTTTTCTCAATCCAGCACATTAGATGTACACACACACCAGAGCGCACACACCTCAGAGATAGCAGTGTTTGTAGAGCTGCGAGGAACAAAGGGGCTTTAAGTAGACAGTAATGTGATCAGAGCTCTGACAAGCTGCAGGAAAGCCCCATCTACTGCAGCACTCAGGACCATCACTGCATTTGTGTGGAAACAAACATACACCCTGCAGAGATGGCACCACCGCAACAGGACAGTGGACTTTCTCCAGGGATCTACAACAAATTCTGTTGTTCCAGAGAACATTTCTTTGCAATAAATGTGAAGCAGAACTGAAGAAAAAAAAAACATATCAGTGAATTGTTATTAAGGTTGTAAATACTCTTACTCTACTGAAAGTCCATTAGTAAGATTATCGTTCTTTCTATAAGTCTTAATGTCATTTTAGCTAACAAAAAGAGACACTTTTTTTTTCTATTTAACTGAGCCGGAAATTGTCTATTAGTGTTCTTAATGCTATTAAAGGTTTGCAGAATTCAGCAGTACAATAATTGCTGTCCAGCTTTTTTAGTTTACACATTCAGCATCGCCTTCCTGACAAGTTTGCTTTACAGGCCGCTAAATACTTTCAAGGTTTTCTTTAATTGGCTTGCATGAAGACAAAAGAATACCCAAACCCAAGTCTGAACATCAGCATCTGCAGATGATACACATAGTCGTATTAAGTCATAGTACTTTTCCATTTGCCTCAGTCCTACCCAGTTCAGGCTGATGCATGTTGTCCACTAATGCCTGTCGATGCATGTTCAACACCCACAGAGAATCATATTAGAAGCCCTTTTCTCCCATCTGGCATTCAGAGTCTTCATGATTAATAAATATGCACTATTGTTCATGTCCGGTTACCTGACAAGTATTTAGTTGTGCTTACGCTGATGAATGCATGCGACTCACCCCAATAATGGCGTTTAGTTCAGCCATGGTGACCTGCTTCGCCCTCTCCACTGCTTGGACCACCTGCTGCTGGTGCTAAACACAAATATAAGCAAACAGCATAACTCAAGCAGAACATGTGAGCACACTAATACACACACTGTCATTGTCGCATAGAGACAAGCTCCAAGCATGGGTGTACTTGGAGTAATTTATATTGTGCAGTTACCGCATGTTGGAAAAGTATTCATAATATTTTACAACATACTAGGATGGTATGTAATAGAACTTAATTGCTGACCTGAAGGGTAATAATACATGGCATCCAATTTTTCACAAATGAAAATCTGAAAACTACACACAGCATTTTCCATGCTAAAGTTGACCAGTTGACATGTTAAAGTTGTTTTCTGTCTCTACTTGGCCTGCATCAAAATGAAAACAGGACTTCTTATTGCTTTCTTTCAACAGTGGCTACATTCTTGCAATTCTCAAATAAAGGGTTTTCCTGTCAGCAGATTGTTTTCATCTGAGCGCTGGAAACAATCTGCTGCTCCTTCAGGATGACCTTGGACCTCTTGATTGCTTCCCTTATTAATGTTCATCAGTTTAAGTGGACGTCTGTGGTTTTGCAGGTTTTTATTCCACTTCTTTCTCATTTTTTGGACGATGGATTAAACAGATAGATGTTCAAAGCTTGTTTAGATTAGATTATAATCTAATCCTGCTTTAAACTTCTCCACAACTTTTGCTCTGAAATATTTTGTGTTCCCCAAACTTGATTATGCTGTTAGTTCACTAATGTCCTTAACAAAACTTCTGAAATCTTCAAAAACAACTTAATTTATATTGGTATGGATACATTTTTTAAAATCTAATAATCCAGGAGACAACTGGTTGCACAACAAGGATAACAGAGTCTGTATAGAAGACCTGAATACTAATGTATGTGACAATTATTAGATTTTTATTTCAGACTATTGGAAAAAATACAATGACATACAGTGGATTTTCTGATTGTGACAAAACTAAAACGTGAAAGTAAACACTTTTCCAAGAAACTAAATATGCTGCAAGTATATTAAGGGCGTCAAATTGCATTTATTACTCAGATTGGTCAAATCAATGTGTTGAGTAAACCGCCATAGTTCCTAAAAAAAAAAACACAAAAAAAAACAATGCAATTCAAACAAAACCAACATAAACATGTGCAACCTCTGCAGGCAGATCTCTACACACACCAAAATCCACACCAACTAAAATCTCACAAATGTTTATTCATCATCTCTATGTGATGAACTACACAAATGCAAACATACGCGTGTGTGTGATGAAGCTTGCACACACACACACACGAAGACACACGGCGTTAATATTGATCAAACTGACAGAGCTTTGACCTTGCTGTCTCCAGGTAGCACATTCATCAGAGCTCACTCGCATTCGGAGACAAACAGAGGAGCCTGCAGGGTTTCATGTTCGTGCTCACACAATCAAGGCACATAGATGCACCGCGGAGCGATGAATGGGATCAAAACACACACGAAGGAGCGAATAATAAGACAAGTGAAAGAAGTCTTTAGGAAATGACTGTATTCAGTGTGCAGATTACAAGATGTAAATGTTCTGAAAACAACACATCAATCCAAATGTCAGCATGTCTGCCACAAAAACTTTAATAGCTGCCTCTGGATTTCCCTTAGATGTAACATTTAATCAGTGGGCCACATATGAAGCATCAGTGATGGTGGTTTTTCAACTCAAAGAGCCGCCTTTGATCATAAAACAGCACTGGATGAGACCTCCAGTGCCATAGTAGCAAACTACAATGGAAAGAAAAACTTGATGCTTTCCAGAAGTATTCACACCTACTGAGCTTTTTGTCATCAGTTTACAATCAAAATGTAAATGTGGTAGAAGAAAGCGGTGGGTTAAACTTTAAAGAAAGCAACAGATCAGCTATGTGGAAGAAAGTTCTCTGGACTGACCAAATCAAAACTTATCTTCTGCCACCACAAAGTTTCACTGGTGGCAGCAACATTTAGTGGCAACATCATGCTAAAGAGATGCATTTCTCAGGAAGTGACAGCTAAACTGGAAAGGTAATAAAGATAAATACAGGCCAATGCTGGAGGAAAAACTGAATCTCTAAACCATCCTCCTGCTGAATGGTTTAGAGATCATAGTATTTCCATGTATTACAATGACCTAATCAAAGTCTAAATATAATAATCGCTGGCAAGATCAGACATTTCATGTTTAAGAGTCTGAGCTCATTTGCAGAGGAAAATTGGCAAAATTTGTTTGACTGCAGATGTCCAAGCCTGGTGGAGACATGCTCTAACAAACTTCCAGCTGCAACTGCAGCAAAAGGTGGCTCTACAAAGTATGGATTCAATGAAGCATAACACAAAATACAGGTTGTGATTTTTCTCTGTGATATATTTATAAAAGCATGTATCACTTTCCTTCCACTTTATATTTATATAAAGTCTGGTCTGCTAACATCAAAAATCCCACTGAAATATACAGAGAACATTTCTTTTCAGTATAAAGTATGCATTTATTTCTGACAACCCAACATTTAAAAAAAATTACATCATAAGTTCAAAAGATAAGAAAAATAGTGACAAAGGGTTAATTATATCTAATTTTCAACATCAGACCCGTGCACAATACAGAATTAATGAGTTTGCACATTTTAAAATGGCAATTTGTTGTTCTTACCAAACACTTTGACAAATGCTCATAATTGCTGAACTGCTTGTTATTGTCTTTTAATCACAAACACCAGGAGTAACTGTGAAATCCACAGCACTCCTTTTCTGCAGATCCTATTTACGAGACAAAGGTAATGAGCTGTGTTTTTATCAATATGCATGCCTGAATATGTCTCAGTGAGAAAATCATGTATATCAATTAACACCTAAATTAGAACTTGTGTTCAATCACTTCACCTTTTAACTTGCTCTACTAGGAACTACTTATTAAAATTTTTTTGCCACTGATAAACCTAAAGTGTAAACAGCCGAGATTATTATATATATATTTTTTTGGTGGCCATATTTTGTGTGCCCGTGTGTAAGTGAGTCTGGCAGCACTTACCTCCTGAGAGAGGAAAGGGATGATCTGAGCACAGATGGCACTGAGACGCTTGACGATTTCTGCCTGCGATGGAGGAGTAGAGAGACCGACAGAGAGAGAAAATCGTGTCACATATTGTAAAGGTGGAAAGCACACAGTAAACGTTGAGCAAACCGTGTACCTCAACAGCACATTAAGGCTTTTGTTTGCATTCAAACACTTTCTTAATGAGGTATCTGAGCTGGGAACCTCTGTGAAAGACACAGAAGGAGGTGTTGCAGTGAAGAACCAGGATAGAGACCACATTAAAGCACCTGTCAGCGTCGGGTCTTTTAGCGCCTTCACACTCTCATTATGCTCACTAATGCAGTCCTATCTACTTCAGCTTTCCTTCATTCCTTTTACCACTTTCCTCTTGGCACATGGTTCAAAAAAGAAATGTAGCGTACATCGTGTTTTATTGGCCGAGTGCCTTTTTAAAGTGCTGTTCTGTCTTGGTTGGAAAATATTGAGGAATTGTTTTAGCCCTTTTTGTTGCAGGTAGGTGAGGCTAAAATAAATGTGGAAGATTATAAAGTTTTATGACCTACAAAAGCAGAGCTAAGATAATATTTTCTTTATTTTTCCTGTCTTACTTTAGCTTTATAAGCTAGCTAATATGTATCCTGGCTATGGCAAAATTTTGGAAATTAAAAAGAAATTAGCAACATGGCCATAACCTACATTAAAAAAACTCAAGGTTTGATTGTCGATCAAATGCAGCTTCACTTCACTGCAGAGGGAAAGAGGGAAGTGAAGCTGGAATGTTTCAACCAATAGATGTATTTTGTACTTTGTAAATGTAAAATAAATCTTTTTTGAATATATTTGTCTATGATACACAGAGTTAGGCACACCTCACAAAATGGAGGAGAAAATTTTGAAATTTTGTGCAAGTCTAACACCTTTGTATGTCATCTTCCAGTACATTATTCATTAATTTTATGCGTTTGTGTATCCTGTATGCATCTAAAAACATCAGCGCATGGTCCAAGTCTGATCCCAGGTGAGAAGCTTTTTTTTTTTCTTGTTAGTTTTTTTTTCTCCTCCAGGTTTTTCTTAATTCAGTCCCTTTGGAGGCTTTTGTCATGTTTGTAATTTTCATTTCTAACATCCATGTTATGTTGCATGTTTACATGAACCGTCTTGATTCATTTAGAATGACTGACAGCAAAATCATAAATAAGTGACCAAGATCAATAAATGATACCTGTGAGATCAATAAATGGTCCCTGCATTGGATTATTCCACTTGAATAATGCAATGCAAAGATTTCCATTGTGTTGTTTTTGAGTGACAGAGAAGCAGTTATAATCAGTTATTTAAAATATTGATTTTTAAATATGACAACCTGTCAGTGGCGGCTCCTCTGATTACTGGAAGGACGATTGCTTACTGTCCTTCCAGTCAAAGCAATCGTCTTCATGCATTCAATGAGAACCAAGAAATAATTTAAGAATGTGTCTGGATGGGTTAAAAAGTGGATGATCAAAGTATAGGTTTGCTCTCCGACTTTTAAAAATGCATCACAATGTGTTCAACACTGTCACTACGTACTACTACTAATAATGATAATAATAAATCACTGTCATATTACCCTGTCCTTCCACTCATCCATTCACACACATGGTAAAAGCACTGCACTCCTACAAATCCAGCTGCCTACACTCATTTTATTACAGCACACAGTAACACATAAATACAAACACACTCTCCCCGGTTGTGTCTCACACACACACTGAACCTCTGCGGTGTGTCTAATTCTATCTGTCTGAGTGCCCTCAGCCTCATTTTGTTCTCTTCTTCACTCAGCCGTTCTCTCTTTCTCCACAGCAGCTCTCACACTGAGCCATTATTACCCTATTCATCCTCTTCCTCCCATCTTTCTCCCCCATTTCTCTCTCTCTCCCCACCACTTGCAACCTTCGCCTTCTATTCTCCCGTCTTTTTACTTTTCTGTATCATTTTCTGTTCCTACAGTATAATTTTTCCATCCTTTTCGTCACTTGCCCTTTCTCTCCCTCCGCATCATCAGTTGCTCTTATCATTTTTTTTTGTCCCCGTTTCAACGCCGTCACACTTTTCCTCCAGCTGCCCGTGCTGCTTTTTCCCTCCTCTGTCCTCTTTCCTTCTCCATCTCCCAACTACTTGAGGATGTTGGATACAGAAAGCAGTGAAGGAAGCATCTGAGAGCAACGGAAAGAGTGACAGGGTCAGATAGGGAGTCGCAAAAAGACTGAAGCACACAGACAATCAGCCAACCTGTCAGTGGCGGCTCCTCTGATCACGACATCAGAAAGGAGCCGTCACCAGAAACACGACTCTGTTCCATCACATCTGACATGTGTCACCGTGAGCACGTGGAGGTAGCTGACTGCCCCTCAGCTCTTCTCCGTATTTGTTCAAACAGCAAGGATAAAGCACGTCTGACCACAAAGATGGAAGTGAAAGTGAGAAAGAGGAACCTCGCAGACAATGAATTACATTTTACAACATGGAATAGATTACTGTGGCCGCTGCCGATGTGGGAGATCTGCTCTACTCTTAAGTCAAAGCAATCATCTTCATGCATTCAAGGGCTAGCTGCTTGACAATGCGGTATCCTGCTTTACTCCAATCTCTTTTATAAGCCTGCAGCAGCAAATAATACAAGTAGACAATAGGCATGGGTGTGAGATTCTCGTCGTATTGTCCTGGAAAATGTATCACAAAACAAACATTTCCTTCACTGAAAACAGAAAACCAACAATAATCACTAGCAACACTAAAATATTACAGCATACTGATTATTACATGCATACATTCATTTACTGTTATGTGGTTTTTGAAATAATAAATAATTAAATATATTCTGGAGCTCTGAAAAAAAATAAAAATAATTAAGAGGCCACTGCACCATGAGGTTTTCAACAGGTTTGAACCCTGTTGAAAACCTCATGGTTTTGCCACCATGTATTGATTTCTGAACGCTCCCTGAGTGAAAACATTTTTCTTGTTTTGCATTATTTGAAATGTGAAAACAGTGCATCTTTTTTGTTACTCTGATTATTTATCATTTTCTGCAAATATTTTTTTTTTCTTGGAATTTCAGAGACATGTTGACCATAGACCATAGAACAACAGATCAAACATACAACTATTAAAAGTAAAATCAGAGAAACTGATCATTTTAAGTGGTCTCTTAATTTTTTTCCAAATATTTATATATATTTATTCCAGTTAAGGATGAAATGACCTAAAATGTAATTTCTAAAGAAAGCATTTAAAAATACCACAAAGTAATAAATATTTGAGTGATTTTTATGCATCAGCGGCTTTTCGAAGCAACGGTCCACAGTAACCGTGCAGCTACACGTGTGTAACATGCAAAGTAAAAAGCCCAGTTACATGAACTGTGTTCTTGACCTGCTGCTTCTGCTTAGGGACTGATGGCAGTGAGAATAAAGCATTTTTCAGCCTAGTCTTGTATTTCACTCTGCTGCCCCTCTGGGTGGAAGTAGATCTACTTTTTACTGGTAGCTAGCCGACTCCTTGAAGATGGAGGCTGCTCCCCTGTGGACTTTGCGTTTTCAGATGATCTGCAGCGGCACAGTGGAGTCTTGGTGATCTTTCAGTCATCTCTACCACCCTCAGCAGGCATCTGCCATCCCGCATTTGTACACAGTCGCGGTGCTCTCCACAATGTATTGAGATGAATATTAAAGCCTTTGCACTTCTGCTCATTACAAAGTAACAGTAGGAGCAAAAGAAGGACTTAATTACTCAGGTTATCTGATTAGGTTGAGCTAGTTAATGGCTAGTTAACAAACATGTTGCTTGTAGCTGCACTTTCATTATTTCATTAGGAATTTTGCCCGGCACTCTTTTTATTTCTCTACGACCAACTGCAGTTTTCATGAATAAAATTATCTGAAAACAACCCAGTCTGTCTTTTTTATTTCTGGCTGAGAGAAAAAGTGTGGTAGCCTTCTTTCAGCCAACTGATCAAAAGTGTGCAACAGGTGAGGAGAGTTACAATGGAAAACCTTTATTGCTCTTATTGACTCGACAACTGCTTCGTTTAGTTCCTAAAATCTATCGGCATTTGGTTTTCTGTTTTTAAATGTACCAGATTTTCTCCTATTAAACAACAAGCTGTCCTCGGACCACAGACGGCTTCCTCGAATGACATCAGTCAGCTGTGACCAACAAAAAACAGAAAAAAGCTCAGGGCAGGACTGATGCTGGACAGTATATGCAAAGCAATCAGAGCTGGCAGCTGGAGCCATTTACATCACTGGTTTTGACTTTGAAAGCTATTCTAATAAGGTTGGCTGAATGGAAACAAGTGACAAGCTGCAGAAATTTGAAATGCTCCAAATGATGAGCTGTATTCCTCTCTGTCGCCACTTTCTCTGTGATGCTTTGCTGTGAGAGGAGTCACCAAAGCACAACTGAACACCAAGCAAGTCCCACTTTGGATTACTGTTTGTTTTTCCCTGTATTCTCCTTTTCTTTCAAAAGTGTAGAAACATCTTGGATGAAAAAAGGTTTACAGTTGTTTATAAAACAAAAGATCCAACAATAAAAAATACGATTATGCCGTTTAATTTGTTTCAATTTTTAATCTTCATGGAATCAAAATGAAATTATTTCAGAGGAAGGCAAATATAGTTTGTTAATTTCCTGCTCGTTCAGTTTTACTGTTGCTGCGAAACAAAAGTATAAAACAGCCAGAAATAACAAAAAAAATGAAAGCATTCTGTGCCGGGGTGAGTCAGTCTGAGCTGAAGCAGGTGTCAGAAACAACACATCACGGTCTCATACTACAGCCGGCCAAAGCACTGCCACCAGGGAGCACTGGCAGAGATTGGACGGATGGAGGGATGCCCGAATGGGTAGCTACAAAGAAGGAGAGAGAAACTCGTCAATAAAACACCTGAGGGCAGATATATGCTGCCAGCTGGCCAGGAAACAGATAGTGACAGAGTGAGAGAGAGGCTCAACATGAAACAGATCAAATATAGGTGAGAGCGAGGCACAGAGAGCGAGAGAGCTTTTCAACA